TTTAAAAAAAATAAAATGTGCCCAAACTGACAAAGCCATTACTTTCTCAAGAATTGCTACATGTGTTACAGATATGACTAAGACCAGTGACTTAGTCCACACCTTCTCTATTTTATTAAAATGTGTTATGTGAAAGCATCAGTTGATCAAAGCCATGGTGTATGAAAATAGAGAATGTTAATGTTACGCCTCTATAAAAAAGAAAAGAAAAAAGAGAAAGTAGCAAGAGTAACTGCAAAAACTACAGAATATCAGATTTTTAACTGTGCCTAAATGATAAAAACTAGACCAAACAGATGAATTTGTGTACCTTGATAGAACACTTCAAATAATGGGAAAATGGATAGAAAAAAATAAGATGTGTAAATATTGGTAGAAAGGTAGTTGTGGTATGTGGTCTATTGCAAGGAATGACTGTCAAAAGAAGCAGAAATGGCTTTATAACAGTATGATTCTGTTCATGTTGTTATATGAAAGTGAGAGCTGGATATATCAGGAGAAACTTTAAAATTAGTTGAATGCACTGGGAATGGGGTACCTAAAATGTGGGTGTGGTAGAACAAGACAGAAGATCAAGAATAAATGGATACTGGATAGATGTGAATGATCAGTGCAAAAGAAGTATAATGGGGTGGTTTGGTCATAGAGAATGAATTAGGATTGAATTGCAAAACAAAAATGTGAAGGAAGAGTAAATGGGTTAAGAGGAAGGGGAAGACTTAGAAACTTGGTTGGATAGAGTTGATAAAAAAAGAGAGAGGTGAGAAGGTTAAAGAACAAAAAGCAAGGTATGAAGCAAGGAATGGGCATGGAAAAAGCAAGGATAGAAAGCTCTGAAAAGGTACAGTTAACATTTTAAAATATAGCGTTCTCCAAAATAGAATAGCATGATGAATAGCATATGCATTTGTACAAGAAAGTGTTGCATTGGAGCTAAATAATAACATTCCTTTTTGTAAACAAAAGCTATGAGAATTTGCTGCACGTGTAAAGTAAGACTAACACAGCATTACCTTTCTTAAACACCTACATACATAATTTACTTGAATAAAATATATCTACCCATATCTTATAATGGGATTGTGTATTTCTACACCTGCCACAAGGCTATAACTTACTTAAACTTATTTGGAGACCGTTCACTGCAACTAGCTATGACAAGGTAAAACAGCGTACACTTAAAGAACTTGATTTTTAACCACTTCCTGTACCGCCCAGAGACATATTCTGCAATTTTGCAAGTAATATCCTAGAAAACTACTTTGAGCATATACTTTTATGTACAGGAGTCATTTAGACAATCTATCTGGAATATGCCTAGCCTGGATGCTTAAACTAGAATAAATCCCCTTTGGCTTTAAATACTGGCTAGTGCTTTTAAATTTTTAGAAATACGTCATAAAAGCACAAGCCAGGCTATTCTTTCAATTAGATAGTGATGTCTGCATAGTCTATTTTAAAAAAAGGTTTGTGCATAAAGTGGATTAGGGCCTTTTCAAGACTCTGAGATGGGAAGGGATGAAATGCTCAATGAAGCTTCTACTCCTCCCCCCCCTGCTTTTTTTTTTTAACTGCATTTCATTACAGTATTTCTTTTTTCTGACCTTTTGAAATTGGTGGCCTAGTAAATAAGAATGTGTTGGAAAACCAAAGTGCAGGAATAATTCTTGGGATTATAGTTTAATTGATAAATGTTACAGCTCTGAATCACAGCAACTATTGATCCATAGTTGGATGGCATCTCTTCCATGTGTGAAGCCTGGCACAATTGCCCCCACTACCTCACCTTAAGGTGTGGGGGTGAGTCCACTGGTTTATGGGAATACCAAAAAAAACACACCATCCATTAGTGCATGGCTACACACAGGTGAATACAACTGATGCGTACTGGTATCTTTTCTCACTAGGTGGCATTACTGCTATCTTCATGTACAATACCTTTTTCTTCCTTGTTTTATTTTGGGCAGAATGGGCCCTTTAAAAACAAAACTGCAGCCAGAAATAGTCAGATGTGTGATTGGTACATGAGGGCAATATTTAAAAACTGCAACTCAGTGTGATAACATCAGGTCTGTGCACTGGAAAATACACGTTTCCTGGTAATCAAGCAGCTCCAGTCACCAGTGATACACAGCTAGAAGGCCCTGGAGGAAAAGTTAAAGGAATTACGACCACTATCTGGTCTCAGCAGAAGTATGTATTTTGCAAAAAGGGCCCAGTTTGCTCACCTCCCAAAGAAAGACAACCATACCAATTCACCAACCACACTGGCCTAGAAGGACTTGACCAAGTACAACTCAAACCATGGAAAACTTTTTTTCTTTCTTTCTTTCTTTCTTTCTTTCTTTCTTTCTTTCTTTCTTTCTTTCTTTCTTTCTTTCTTTCTTTTTCTTTCTTTCTCT